GGGGCGGCGGGGGGATGGGGGGTGGTGGTACCGGGCCTGGCGTGAAGGGGCGCGGCTCAGCTGACACACCCGGGGAGCAGAAGCCCCCAGAGGCTCCTGGGCGCGTGCTGGAGGGGCGCCTGTGGGGGCCAGCAGGGGTGAGGGCAGGACAGTGTCGGGCTGGGGGAGGGGCGAGCTGGGGAAGGGACGCTGCGGTGGCCCCTAGCGGCAGCCCCAGGACGGCCCCGGCCTCAGCCCTCCTGGGCGGCCGGCGGAGCACCGGCGGGCCCGGGAAGCTGGACCGGCGGGCAGGCTGTCTGTGGGGGCCAGGCCACGCAGACCCCCCAGGGCAGCCCTGTCCCTGGGTGCTGGCTGTGGGTATCGGCTGGCATGGAAGGGCCACGGCCCTGTCTGTAGGTAGCCAGGGACGGTTCCAGGCAGTTGGGTAGAACTGGGGGGACACCCCGGTGTTCTCCCCTGGTCTCTGCCTTTTGCTCCCCCTGTCCAGGCTGAACTTCCCGGTGCTGTTGGACAGGTGCTCTGGACCGTGCATGCTGTGGCTGTAGAGTTTGCCATTCGGGGCGCACAGGATGAGCGCGTGGGGCTGTTACGTACGCAGGGAGGTGGGCGGGTGCCGCGCCGAGCGGGAAGGTCAGCGGCCTTCGGGGGCTTCGGACGGCCTTCCCGCCCCGGGCCCTGCTCCCTTCTCAGGCGAAGGGGGTACGTCCATGACCGAGGTGGTCTGAGCCATCATCCTCCACGCTGGCTGGGTATCTTGCCTGTTGGGGGGCAGGGCCAGGGTTTGGGGCGCAGAGACGCAGGTTTTACTCGACATCGGCATCTTCGGAAGACCGCGGTGCTCCCTGGCCGGCTGTGCCTGTAACCCCGAGGACTCCGTCGCGGCCTGGCCGAGCGGGGTTTCTCCAATGTGCTTTCAGGGGGCAGCTCTGCCTCGCGGCCATTTGGTGAAGCCCCGCCCCCCCAAACCAGAGTGTTTCTCTCTGTGGTGGGGCAACTAGGTGGTGTGAGTCAGGGGCGCGTGGGCCGGGGTGTCGGGCGGGAGGCCCACTAGAGAAACGCAACGCTCTGCAGAGGCACCTGACCAGGGAGTTTTTGACGGAGTCCGGGAGAGTTGGGGAGCCCGAACCCCCCAGCCTGTTCACAGACCAAGGGGGCCTGCACAAAGGGTCCCCAGGAGAACATTCCCGCTGGGAGCTGGGCTCGTCGCGTCTCCGGCTGGCCTTGTCCGAGGACTCATGAGGATGGAGGCCGAGGGCGGGCATCCAGATGGCGTGTGGGAGGGGCCGGGCTCCGTGCAGCCATTTCTGGGGCCTCTGCCCAGTCCTGGCCGCCTGGGCGCCCTCCCTCCAGCCAGGCCGCAGGCGTCCAGAGAGCGGGCAGCCATCTGCTCGCCAGGCAGAGCCGCGGCCTCCCGACTCGGGCCAGGGCCATTCGTGCGCCTCAAGGCTCCGCCGTGTTTACTTTGGATTCTAGGGTAACGCGGGGGCGGGGGAGCTCTGTGGGAGCCAGAGGCC